AAAAAAAAAAAAAAACAATTCATTCATCTCTATCGATACATAACTATTATCATCTCAGACAAAGCTGAAAGGAAAACGGAGGATGGATTGGATCGAAGATTTAGCTTCAGACAACGCTGGTCGACTGTTCGAGGTTGAATTTGATATTGGACAGTTTGCGGGTGTTATATTGGAACAAGCCTCGTGCAACGTAAATTGTGTGTACGTACAAGCCAGCAACGGTGTTGAACACGTGTCGAGCGATTTCGAGTAACGCGAATATATCGAGAACGCATCTCTTCGATATTCATTCTTTGTTAGACTCTTTATCACGCGCGACTGGTCTTCGTTTTCGCGTGCATGAAATTGTGCAGTGTAAGTAATACAGAAATTACACTCGCTTTCGACATTTCCGCGTCGCGTGTAGCACGTGCGGCTACACGTATTTATTTCTTACTTAACACTTTAGACAAATAATAATTGAATTACACTTCTCACGCGTCGTGTTTGCAAACGTGTTCTCGCTTCTACGATCGTGCAGAAATTCGATCGAATTCTCTGTCTCATCTCGATTAGAAAACTGCTTAAACGATTAATTCCTAAGAACGCTCGATGAAGTTTTTGAACGAGCTTCGCGTATTTAGCGGCGGGAAAAAGAGAGAAACGGAATTTTCCTTTGCTTCTTCTTGTGGTTTACTTTTCGTGAAACGAGTTTTAGGTAAACTAAATTCTCTGCGTTTTATCGATAGATTAATTAGATTTAGTTAGATTATCGCGAAATAATTTTTAAGAGATATTCTAATATCAAATATTTCCAAAAATTCGTTCACTAGTTCACTGGAATGAAGACAATTTATGAATTACGCGTATTGGAAATAAATTGAAAATATTTTTGCTGAAAAAGAATTCTGCGTTTCCAGAGAATTTCGTAGAAAAATTTTAATGTTTCTGGATTGGAAAAGATCGGGGAAACGCACAGGTATTCTTCGAAATTCTTTCGAAACGGCCGCAATTTTTCAACATGAACGCTTGCGATCGTGTCACGATTAAGTAAATTCTCTCCGCCCGAGAGGATTCAAATACCCGAATCCACGCGAAGATTCGCAGAAAATTTTTTTTCACCCTTCCCACTCTTTCACCCATTTTCCCGTTTTCCATTTCAATCGGCACGCAGGCAACTTGAATCGATCACAGTTTCCGCGCGATCGTTTTCTAGCGAGACAATCTTATCGCCGACTCACGCGAGCATAGATTCCTTTCTTCCGACACACTAGTTCTTATTAGATTCCGGATAGAATTATTTACGACGTCGTGTTGCGTTCGTTTCAAATCGACTGCTCGCGACCACGGATGCGAGTAACGGCGCACGGATCGTTTAGATAGCTCGAATAGATTTGCAAAATGGTAGAACGTAAAACCGGATATCGAAAGCTCAAACATTTCAAAGTTAAATCGGATAGAAAAGGAAAGAAGTAGCGATCGATGCGATTCGTATGTTGATTTATTATTAACCCTCCGTACGAGTCCATTTTTTTTCTCCCCCTCCTAGGATATATTTTAAATAATTGTCAAAATAAATCCGACAATGTTACACCTCTGTGTGAAAAATAATTAAAACTGCAGAGGGTTAATATTTCTATCAGAATTATTTAAATCGATCTTCCCTTCGAATATTTTACGCCCACCATATTAAATCGATTTTCGAACGAGATTTTCTTTTCCTTCTCGATATTTTTCTCGACATTCTAACCCTCCATTCTCGCTCAAGTTCAGTTGCATGAAACGTGGAGGCGCAAAAAGCCTCCGCTTTCAGCCGGAACATCGAAATTCGGCAAGAACAAAGACGATCACACGGTTCATCGGCAACACGATGACGTGTCAAAGGACGCAAAGGCACGGACGGCCGAGTCGACAATTGGTAGAATTCGACGAGAAATTGGTGGAATCGATGATGTAAATCATCGGCTCGCCGCGAAACGCGAAAACGGAGGGGGGTTCGCTCTCCGCAAAATGTCACTTGCACGCCCGGATAAACCGACCGCGACTATTTATGAGAGGATCGATGAAATGGCACGCGTGCATCGAACGTTGTTTTTCGTCTTCCTGTAGGATCCGCCTTTTTCTAAACTTGATTTCGTTCGAGACGAGAAACGTTCGCGCGAAATATATATATATATATATAGGCCAGGTGCATCGGAACGAATCGAGAGCGTGAAATGTCGAAAGTATAGGCGAAGCTACGTACTCAAATTTGACATATCATTGTCGATCTTTTTATCGGATTTAGTAGGATATTGAATTATTAGTAATTTAGCGAGAATTAACGTAGTTTCGCGTTTGATGCGTAGTATATATGCATCGATTTTTGAAAAGCAAATTTTTATGCGATTGTCTTTGAAACATTCGATAGAGCGTGGATGAGAAATTTAAAAAAAAAATAGAGGAAATAAATATGTAAATACATGTAAAATATTTAAAAGGAAAACAAAATTTTTAATTCATTTTTTCGAATATAGAAAAGTATGAATTTACGTAAAAGAAAGGATTCATTTCATACAAATTAGAAGAATACCACCATCGATCATTTATCGTTTAAAATTTCGTTTCTCTTGTAGAAATCTCTGCAAGATTTACTACTTACATTTGGAATAATTTTACAATGACGTATGATCGGTGGGTAGAATCTGAAAAGGTACAAAATGGAATTCGAGATAGGTCAGTGGTCAGATATCACGCGAGGAATTCCACGAATCATGCAAATCCAATTGGCCACATTCCCAATCCTGATGTACCTGGCGTGTCGGGCTAAGCTCGAAGGGATCCTCGATTCCTCGAGTACATCTCGACGGTATCGGTTACCTCGGATTTATCTCGTTCGAGCCATTTCCGTTCCACGAATTTTTGCAATTCAAAAGCGAACGATCTGGAATATCACGCGGACGTATGATCTTCCGACGAAATCGACGAAAAAATCGATTGGAATTTCTATTCGTAGATTAGAGGCGGTCTACTCTCGAAAGAAGTTTCGAGTAAATCTAGAAAATCGATCGAACGAATAGTTCAACAGTTCTCCACGATTCTTGTTCGCTCGAACGTCTCGTCTCTTCTTTCCTTCCGATCGAAATAAATTCACCAAATAGAGAAGGATTGCGAGGATCTCTGACGAACAAACGCGCCGAAACGTGAACGCTCGAGGGATGGTACGCGAATTTTATTGCACAATTATTACGAAGCCGTGCTACATTATTCGACGGACATCCGTCGATCAAATTTTTTCGTAAAATTTCAATTTGGAAATCGCTCTGTTCTCTTTTAGAGATATATTTAAATTTATGGCTCGTCCAAATGAAAATTCGGATCTCGAGGGGTCGGCGAAGATTAAATTGAAAATTGAAAAACATCCTACCCCTATATTCTCTTCCATCCGACCCCTCGTTGATCTTTCCACCTTTCCGTCTCGTCGACGTGTCAGGCTTGTTAAAAATTAAAAAAAAAAAAAAAAAAAAAAAAACACACAGTGTCTCCGATTGAAATTCGCGTTTCCTCCTTTATTTCCATCTACGCTTGTTTGCCGACGCGAGAATCCACTTTCGAGCCGCGTTTGTTCCTCGAGAGAGTATTGCGCGGCTTCACGAGGATGTTACGGATGTAGCGTGTAAGACGAATGCTAGACGTTGTGACGATACTGGATCATTGTACATGTATATACATAAATCGAGAGAGGAAAAATAAAAAAGAGTAATACGACGAGCGAGTGGAATTACTTCTCCCCGGGATTTGTCCCTCTTTCTCATTTGTCTCCCTCCCCTGCTTTTCGTGGATTGAACGTAAGCCGGATCGTGAATTAGAGTGGATGATAACACTTGGTACTTGTGCTACTTTCAACGTATGAAGCAATTTCAAGCGTGATGAGGGTACCCATATGCTCGAATGTATTCTTAGCTTCAATTGTTTCTTTAACTTGCAATCTTACTTGCGATTTACGATCTTGGTACGATGTCGATACATTGGAATGAAATAACGCTGTTAATTAAATTTATTTTTAAAATATGAATTATATTTATAGATCGATTAATCCGAGTTAAAGTTATGTGTATTTTTTTTATTTTGGAAAAATAGATTTGCATAATAATTTCCCGTATCGTTTACTGTACACTATCATCGAAAATAAAATCACTGTTTATGAAATAAACTCAATCTTATCTTTAATAACTAAATACTAAATACTTTAAAGATATTTTTCTATCGTATTATGATTATTTCGTTTTATATGCTTCATTTATATGCAATAATTTTTCATTACACTTTTATTTATAATTCATACATCAGCGAGCGATTTCACATCGTTAATAGAATTTTCTTCCTTCTTAAAATTATTTTAATACATTGTAATATCTATTTCTCGTTATTTTTTATTGATATTTTATAA